AATCCGCCTATCAAGCAAAGACGGGCGAATTCACCTGTCAAAAGGTGAAATCCGCTTAGTCAGAGCGAGGTCTGCATGTATAAACGATACTCCCCTTTACCAGAGAAAAAGTCAAACTCGCCTATCAAAGACGAGTTCGCCTTCGCCCAATAAAGGTTAATTTCACCCGTGGAGACAGAGATCGTCCTCTAAGAATAAATGTAAAATCCACCTAAAAAGGGTTGACTTTGCCCCAAATCGGGGAGGCTGCCAAAGGATGGCGGAATTCAGGGATGACAAGCGATACTCATCCTCCCAACCCGACGTCTGTAACCTACGCAAGGTCATTAGACGAACCCCTTGACTTACCCAAGTGTGTCTCACGCACGCTGGCAGGCACACTGGCGGCGAGGTGGTCGGAATAGCGTCCAGGACCTTTTCCCTTCGCAACACACTTCTTAGATTTCGACTTCATTGGGGGATAGAGTCTCTCTCTTTAGAAAATTTTCAAGATCCCTGAGCACGGTAGATCTTGAAGGAAGAGAATAGCTTATTTAAAGGCGGAGTTGCTGACGTGGCCACGATCGCCCTTAAAGGGTGAAACACTGGCGGACGAGAAACGTGACCACGATCGGAATCAACGGCCCAGATTGCCCCCAATATTTTGGAGGAACCGTCAAGACGGGAAACGGGCCGGTCGAAAACCCGGAACCCGAGCCAAAATCGACGGTTGTATTCGATGGTTGGGTCTGAAAAGCATGGCCACGATTCAAACGAGACGCACGAAACTTACGTCAGATTGTCGAATCACAATGAACGCGACATGACGGAACCACGCCGCCTTAGCTGGAAAGCACGAAGCCCCACCGGCGGACGCGTGGCTCACTCACACTGAACCTAGTTTCGCCCATAGGAAAAGTCTCACCTACGAAAACTCTAATCAGATCCGCAAGTTGAACAAAATTTCACCTCCAAAACCTAACTTCGCCTGAACGGCACATTCACCTGTGGAGACAAATGACCTGTCCAAGGCCTTGAACCGCCAACGAGATGGCCTCGTTTTAACCCGCGCCTCAGAGGGCTGAGGGTTGGAGTAGAAATCTTAGCATCAGGTCTAAGAGAAACTACTCGACAACTCATCATACTGAGGGGAATAGTATGGCTAGTCCGATTCAAACGGTAATCGGTAAAGGCATATCAAACCCGTTGATAGCTGAGGGTTTGCTAAAAATCCTAAAAGAAACCAAATGCACTTGTTTCGCCAAGAACTTCTTTATTCAAAGTATTCCAGACCACACGCAAGCCGGTTTAGGTCTGAAAACTTTAAAGGGGGTCTTGTAGATGGTAAAAAATACCTCTGTGAGCTTGCAAGAGATTCGCCTACAAGGAGAAGTCGCCCATACAATTTGCCTAAGCCACGGGAATGCACCTTTTAACACAACTCGCCTGACCAAGTCTGAAGTCGAATTCGCTAGCAAACCTCAAGGCCGCCAGAATAGCTAGGTATTTGCTACCCCACGTGCTGAGGTGGGCTTTCCCACCTCTCTCGACCTAAAGGGATAAGGCACGGTACTCCAGGCCCATCGAGTGGCCGTTCACAGTACAAGTGATCGGGCAGGTGTCGAGTTAACCTGAACACTCATAAATGTAGCTCACCTCATCCGTCTGAGTCAAGAGCTGGATCCGCCGGCATTCGGCAAGCTGTCCAAACCCACTCGAGTGCTGGACACCTGCTTTCCCACCTCTCATGACCTGAGAAGAGAGAGAGCACAGTACTCTAGGCCCGTCCAGTGGCCACTCACAGTACGAGTGATCAGACAGACACCAAATAAACCTGCGCGTTCATAAATGCGACTTAGCTCAACGGTCCAAGTCAACAGCTGGATCCGCCGGCGCACAGTAGGCTGGCCAAATCCACTCGAGTAGTGGGCAGCCGCTGTCGCCGGCGCACAGTAGGCTGGCCAAATCCACTCGAGTAGTGGGCAGCCGCTGTCTCACATACGAGGAGGGTCCTTCCCATTCCTACGTGACACGACGTGAAGCACAACCCATCGAATGACCATTCGTAGTACAGATGGGCGGGAAAACATCTCTCAACAGTACATGGTCACATCCCATGATTCAAGGAGTGACCACGCCGTCTCTCCACCATTTAAGAACTTCTTCCAGCCACAAGTTCAGGGGTTCACGGGTTCATGGGTTCACAGGTTCAGAACTTCTTCCAGCCAAAGAAGAAGAGTTTCAGCTGTTTTCAGCCGTTTAGCGATTCGCTCATAATTGAATCAGCTAACTGAACCACTAGCTTTCGACTCCTAGTCGGGTCGACTGCAAGCTCTTTGCATAACCTTTGCACTGTAGCATCCCCTCTCAATTCCAGGCCCTGATCGCCACCGAACTCGGAGATCCGAACTCCATCAACCTGAGCTCCTACTGCATACTGAAGCTCTCCGGCAACCTCGGTCGAACCGTCCAAGGGAAGCAAACTCGACACGAGCATCGAGCGAAACATCCTGTAGCTACCGAAAGTCCCCACACTAAACAAAGAGGGCCTTCCCTCTGCTTCTGTTGTAATTTCGATTTATTAGTTTGTAATAAGCCTTCTTATTAATACAAACGAAAGTCCCTGTTTTCGGGAGATCAAAATTTACACCTACAAGAATCATAGCCTAAACAAGGTGCATAATGCATGTCAATAATATCTATATATATGCAAGCAAGATAACAATAAATCTCAAAACTAGATTAGCACAAAAAGATAACTTGGATCAGATAACAATAAATCTCAAAACTAGATTAGCACAAAAAGATAACTTGGATCTTTAACTCAAGATGATTAAACCTTAAATCAAAGAGCACCAATAGCACAAAAAGATAACTTGGATCTTTAACTCAAGATGATTAAACCTTAAATCAAAGAGCACCAAGCTCAGATACCAATAGAAAACACTCTAATGCCACTTGGAAAGAACCCTAGAGGGGGGTGAATATGGTTTATGCTAATCTTATTAGATATTAATGCCGATTAAAACTTATTAATAAAATATTCTAGCAAATTAGATATACTACAAGATATATGCAAGGATATAAAACTAAGGGTGATATAAACAAACAAGATAGTCGGAATATAAACAACGAGCAATTGACAAAGGTGATATAAAATGGACACAAAAGTAAGTGCGCCAATGCAAAGTCAAACAAGCGATATGATCACGGAGATCGGTCCCCACGATCTACGTCTCCGCTCCTCACCTCGAGGAGATCTCCAGTATTACAATCGGGTTTTCTACGCTCACCCGAATAACGTTTACACCTAACACTCGGTTTTTTAGCTCACCGAAAACTTTATAATCTCACACTCTTACAATCACACTCTACACCCTCTAAGTGTTGGTCTCTAGCCCGTGTCTCTCTCAAGTGTTAGGAATTACAACCTACCTCTAGGCATTACCATCTACCCCACTCCTCTTGGAATGACCCCGTCTCTCACCACACACTCCTCTCGGTGTACAAGTGTATTACAAAGTGTAACTTCACAATTACGCACACACACAATTGTTTGTTCTCTAATACAAGATGAGAACTAAATGTAAGATCACTCTCTAAGTTATACAATCCCCACAACCCAAATTATACTATGTATGAAAATACAATAAGCTCAATAGGTTGTGTGTGAACAAAGAGTATCAATAAATTAATTAAACTCAATATTGAAATCTAGCTTATGTAAATTAGAGTCAAAATAATAAATAGTTAGAATAGAGTTTAAGGAAACTTTTCTATGATGACAAGAGAGAGAGAGAGATGAGTTGAAGCACAAACATCAAAGGATGATCTCTTCTAGCTCTTGTGAAAAATTCTTTACAAACTTGAAACAAATATTAAACAAACTTTAAACGCCCTTTAAATTTGTTTAAAATCTTTCTGAATTTTTTTTAGAAGTTAGAGGGTATGAGATATATATAAGATCATAAGACAAAGCCTAAAAACCCAAAAAATGCTAGCAAAACGACAAAATAACGAAAACATGAAAATTTGGAAAAACTAACCGTTATGCCATCGGTCGACTAATTGGTCGACTAATCGGTCAACTAATAAGCTGACCGTTACAGGGAACTGGCAGCTTATCGGTCGACTGAAGAACACGATCAGTCGACTGATGACCTTATCAGTCGACTGGTCAGTCGACTAGAATAAAACAGAAACTTTTGCTTATTCTAGGTGATTTTTTCAGTCAGCTAAACACAGGTATCAGTCGACTGATAACACTTTATCAGCCTGTTTTGAATACTAAAACTAATTTTTAAACTCTTTTTAAAAATAGCAAATAAAAATCAAAAAAATATAAAACTTTGGGGAATGCTTGTTAACATGAAAAATAACATGGTTTTCAAATAGCACCTCCCAAATGAGAAATCTCTTTATTTTACAAAATAGTCCAAAACTTGAAAATGAACAATACTTGTTTATGACATTTTGACTAAACCATGTTTTGAAAATTTATAAAATGATTATATAGACTTAATAAGATAAGTATATGGTGATTGTTAAGTCTAAAAACTAAGAATACAATATTTTTACAAAAATGATGTTTTGCATAGTATATGAATTTTTCAATAAAACAAAACAATAAATATTGAAATATGTAATTTCATATTTATAAACATGAAAATCAAAAACCAAAACTTGTGTGTGTGTGTGTGTTTATATATATATATATATATATATCAATCACAGTAATATCCTCTAGTAGAACCAAATAGAAGTGCAGGTACAAACAGGTAAAATAAAAGGAATAAATGTAATAGACATGATATAGAAGAGATATCTCATAAATGAAAAGAATCATGTTTCAACTATAATACATTTGATATCTGAATAATGAAAATGTCTCAACATGAATCAACTAAAAATCATACTAAGGCACACTGCCTTTACAATATGAATATGAAACTCTAATGTCTGGATAAAACTTAAAACTATAGTGGAGTCACTACAAGTAAAAATACACGACGACGACTATGCCAGAACTCCGTCATCCTGCGGTTCTCCGAAACTCCGAACTACCTGAAAAGTAATTTAAAAAAAAAAGAATAACAACAAGAGCGTCAGAGTGCTACAGCAAGATTACCTCCATCCGTTCCTAGCGGAAGGGCTACTAGATGGAGTGAAAGCTCTATCTATTAAGCATAGTCTACCTAGATTCATTTTCCCCGTATCTAAGTAGGATTAACATTTAGAAACCTACAACACGAGACGTAGTACGTCGAGCGAAATAATCCAAACAAGGAAAACCCTCATGTATATACCATAAGTCTCAAATTGTAGATATCTAAACATTATTACCGAACTAAGAAAAGGCAATCTAATGAAACCAATAATTAGAAATCCATAACACGAGACTGGTAAGTCGAGCAAAATAATCCAAACAAGGAAACCCTCATATATATATATCATATGTCTCCAGTTGTGAATCTCTAATCATTGATCCCAACTAAGAAGTAAAGAAGACAGTAAAAGAAATAAGATATTAACACATCGTATTTATAATATCTTCCACTATCACTGGAGATATAGAATAAAATACCAACACATAATTTTGTATACTTTCAAAAGTAACATATCTCAGTCATATAGTTCAATGATAGGTTGTATTCATAATCGGCATCTGCCATACTTAGGCTATCAAGTAATTGTTTCAGTGCAACGGACTACCTTATAGGTATCCTGAACTATGTACACAGCTCATTAGTCTCATCGCGATCTCAGTGCGTAATATGAGTGCGGGACGAACTACCAAATAGGCATCCTAGAAATACGGCTCACGAGCCTCATCGCACCCTAGTGCGGGACGGTCGGCTAGATCAAGCCTCCTAAAATCCGACTCAATGGCCTGTACATGTGGAATATCGACACACTACCTCATGTAGTACTGAACTGAGCTCATCAACGATATCCACCTTATGTATCAACTGTGTATATCTGGTGTGTCGACGCACTATCCCATATAGTACTGAGCTGTGCTCATCAACGACATCCAACATGTATATAAACTATATCTAATTCAAATATGATCAAATAAAAATTTATCATAATCCCCTTGAGATTCATAAATGTATAACATAACATATTCATGACTATACGTGTAACATCAATCGACTCAAAACTCCGCGAACGCACCTCAAAACGGCACAACACAGCTCCACAAAACGAGCAGGAAAAACAGACGGAATATCTGTTAGTAAAACAAGCATATCCTTCCCTAGGAAAACTATTTTTACAAATGGTTTTCTATTTTGAAAACTAGATTCATACATCTTTCAAATGATAAAAGTTTATTTCAGTTTGGAGTTCATTTGTTATCCCAAATCTCCAGTTAAACATTATATATGTGCAACCATTTTTCTTCAGGACATGTTATTAGTAAACATAACCTATCTTTCTCTATATAAAGTCTTTTTAAGAATGGTTTTATGTTTTAGAAACTAGATACATATAGATTTTATTTAAAACTAGTTTGGTTAAATTTGGAATTTGTTTGCTATCTTAAACTCTCAATTAAAATTATACAATTGTTGTAGTTTTCTGCAGAAAAACATATATATAGTACATCACTTAAATTTCTCATATATGAATAAAATTATATATAGTACATCACTTAAATTTCTCATATATGAATAAAATTATGAAAAACCCTAATGATCATGATCATGATACAAATTTCTCATATATGAATAAAATTATGAAAAACCCTAATGATCATGATCATGATACTATCATAAACATAAAAAAAAGATTATTCATCTAGCATTTGTTTTAAGTTTTACTATCAGAAATCTGACTTTTAACACCTCAGGTTAAGATTAAAGCATGAAAACACATATTCAACATCATATTAATCATCTATACTAGTTATTTAACTATGGGGATGGGTTTGGATGAAGATAATCTTACCTCAAATATTGTTCTAAGTCTCTGAGATAAATAGAAAGTAATTAGAAGTACAAACAACCCATTTTCTCCTTGCTACACGTCGATGATCTCGCCCTTGTGTCGATATTTGCTTCACAAAGCTCTCAAAATTCTCAATTTTAGGGTTAGGGCTTTAGAGAGAGGAATAGGGACTGCTAGGGTTTGAAACTCTAATGTAAGGGTGATAATTTTCTTGAAAACATAAGTATATATTTATGCAATCCTGAAATAAACCCGTTTGACCCGAACCAGGAAACCTAGTCTCACTAGGAAAACAACATTCGGTATTTTGGCAATAACTTTTGCGTCCGACCTTGGAATAAGGTGATATAAGATTTGTTAGAAAGCGCTTGAAGATACCTACAACTTTAGTATTTAAGTTTTCCAAGATTCTAACTATTTTAGTATGTAAAATGTATATACTTTTAACTGGTCGTTTTTTCCAGATTCAGGCCCGTGCACGTGTGCATGATATCACTTCTATATTCACATATATATATTGAATTGATCTCAAATCAATTCTTAGCATACTAAAATATGTGTGTGTGTGTATATATGATTGAGCTTAAAGTACCAACACACAAAGTATTAACTCCTAAACTAAATTACCAAGCAATGATCTTCATGAAACTTTATCTTGGTAAGATGGACGAAGCTAGAACTTGGATCTTCAACTAAAATTACAAGGCTTCAATCCACTATTCCATCAACCTCTATTGGATATGATCGTTAAAGCTCAATTCCATCCATCCTCTAACATATTGTTTGTCTACAATAAATAGAAAACACAACCACTAAAATAACAACATTAGTAGTAAATTGTTTGTTAAACATCATCAAAGCAAAAAGGCTAACAGCGGCTGG